TAATCCACTCATGGATTGACGGGCACTTGGGTTGTTTCCACATTCTTGCAATAGTGAATTGTGCTGCCATAAACATTCCGGTGCAGATGTCTTTATCGTAGAATGTTTTTGCTCTTTTGGGTAGATGCCTAATAGTGCTATTGCTGGATCAAATGGTATTTCTATTTTTAGCTCTGTGAGGTATCTCCAGACTGTTTTCCACAGAGGTTGCACTAATTTTCAGTCCCACCAGCACTATAAGAGTGTTCCCGTCTCTCCACATCCTTGCCAGCATTCGTTGACAAAACCATTTTTAAAGAAATAATACTGGAAATTGTGGAAGGCAGAGACTTCATTTTCATATCCCAGCTGGGTTTGGCCATTGTCTTACATAATAGATATAAAATCAATCTTTGTTGAATTAACCAGAAGAATTGATCACACATAATTCTATCCCAGTTACAAATTCTTAATAATAATTGTAACTAAAAAGAGAGAATAACTACATGCTTTATAAAATCAACTGTGTTCTTATGCTCCATGAGGGAGACCACGCATTGAGCAGGAGTGCTTTATGGAAGCATTGCATTTAACAGCACTGTAAATTACAGTTAGGATTTGAGCCAGTGGAGATGAAAAGAAACACATTGGCTGAGGCAAGCAGGGTAGACAAAGGCTGAAAATCCCGGGTATATTCAAGGAATAGCAAATGCTTTGCTTTGAGAAAGTGGGAGCACAGGATGAGAGTGGAGAAAGATAGGCTAGGCTGGGCATGGTGGCTCATGCCTGTAATCCTAGCCCTCTGGGAGTCTGAGGTGGGAAGATACCTTGAGCTCAGGAGTTCCAGACCAGCCTGAGCAATAGCAAGACCCCATCTCTACTAAAAATAGAAAAAAAAAAATTAGCAGGGTATGGTGGTGCACACCTGTAGTCCCAGCTCCTTGGGAGACTGAGGCAGGAAGATAACTTGAGCCCAGGAGTTTGAGGTTGCTGTGAGCTAGGTAGATGCCACGGCACTCTAGCCCAGGCAACAGAGTGAGACTATGTCTCAAAAAAGAAAAAAAAGAAAAGAAAGAAAAATAAATAAAAATAGGCTAGATTGTAGAGTCTTGGGTACTTTGTTAAAGAATTTCTGAGTGCAGCGAAGAAATGTGGGAAAATTAATCTGTCAACAGTGTACCGAGACAACTCCTAAATGACCTAGAGCAGGAAAGGAGGGAGTTTCTTGATCCCTTTCTAACAAAATCCTAAATTTATATCTTTCCTAATGTTCCTATTGTCAAATCTAACCAGGAATGGTAGAATACTAGTGGCTAATATTTATTGAGCATTTACTATGAGTGATGCACTTATATATATTATCTCATTTGATCATTGGAACCCTTCGAGGTGTGTACTATTATTTTTCCCATTTACACATGGAACAACTGATATTTAGCAAGATTAAGTAAATCATTGAAAGTCACAAAACTAATATTACAATGTCTGCCTTACTCTGTACAACTATACAGCCTCTGCTGAGCATAAAGTACATTTTCTGAGTTTGCTTGTAGTATTGAAAGAAGCATTTGCCTTACAGTCAAAAGACTCTAACTTAAATTTTGGACCTAGTCCTGTCTAAGCTGGGTACTCTTGGGAGCCAAGCATTCAATTTACCTGAACATATTTCCTCATTTGTAAAATGTGGCATCACTCAGTAACATTATCTAGTACACATGGTTAATGTGTTTTGAAGGTTAGATGTGACTATAAGTGAGGCGAATTTTAGTTAAATATAAGAAATGGTTTTTGAACACGAGAATTAACTCAATTAATTGAATTAATAAAACTCTGTGGTGAAGAGGATGCATTTGAAGAATTCAGAGAATGAATGAACATCTGTCAGATATTATAAGCCTTGTGGAACTTAGAGTTTAGTGGAGAAGATATGCCTTTAATAAGTAATTAATAACTAATGTAACAAGCACTTTCTATGTGGTAAATACTACACTATGTGCTTTACATGCATTATTTCATTTAATTCTCATAACATCCCAAAAGAATTCAATATCTCTCACAGGAGATTATGCAAGCCACACTAGATTTCTCTGTTGTCACATTTATTATTATTTACCTTTTAGAGATAAGAGAACTAAGGTTTAGAGAAATTGATTGACTTTCTCAAGAAAACAACTGGCAGATGTTTGTTTTCTGAACACCTCTGATAAACATTAGGCCATATTATACTTTCTTTTTTAACTATTGGGGAAAAATTGAAGATGATGCTTCATGTCAGGGATTTGCAGAAGCAATCATGAACTAAATTAAAGTATTATAAATGGAGTCTGTACTTGAAAAAAATTAAAATAATTTTAGTTCCTCTTATCTCCGGCCTCTCATATTTGCTTTTGAAAAATACTTTAACTCAGTCAAGGAAAAAAACATACTTTAACATTCCCTGGTTGCTTCTTAATCTTTAAACACAACATTCCTGAGCTGTAAACTGCACACTAAATAGCATAGTTCTGAAAGATAAAAATTCTAATTAATTTCTCCAAGTAATTTGATTTTGTTTTT